GACTGTGTGAGCGCATGTGCGTATGTCCACATACGAAGACCAATTTTCAAATGTGAACCGGGTATGGCAAGGACAAGGCAAGAACATCAAAGTAGCACACAGCAAAAAGTCAGTAAATAGTAATTTCCCTCCTTCCCTTCCACCTTCTCCTCATACCATCAGTCTAATTCAATAATCATGGTCTTATCACAGAGATTTAGGTTGATACACCGATTCATAAATTTCAAGTGTAATGAGATAATAATATGTTAAATATTATGATAAAATCATGATAAAAAAGAAGTGAAAGTAAAGTTGACCCATGAACATCATGGGGATTAGGTGTGCTGACTGCCCTATGCAGTCGAAAATCCTGTATAACTTTGGACTCTCCAAATACTTAACTACTGATAGCCTACTGTTGATCGGAAACTTACCAGTAACAGAGACAGCCAATTAACACATATTTTGCATGCCGTATGTATTATTACAATAAAGTAAGCTAGAGGAAAGAAAATGTTATTACAAAAATCATAAGGAAGAGAAAATACATATACAATCTTTACTGAACAAAATCTAAGTATCAGCGGTCGCATACAGTTCAATGCCATGTTGTTCAAGAGTCAATTGTATGAGGATTAAATGTTATCTTTGAAAGACTGTAGTCTCAATTCCCCCTTCATTTTAAGATTTTTTAAAAAGCATATAATCCTTTTAATCTGAATACATCTGCTCTCGCAGAAAGCCACATCCACAATTGTAAATAAAGGGGAATAGAGTTGTAAAAAAGGAGAAAAAAAGGCAGAAATCACGGAGGTAAGACGCCAGTTCTCCAAGACCACTCAACAAGGGCAGAGGATAATAAAGGGACCTACTTTGGTAGTGATCCTATATGTGATGTAGGTCTCCATTGTACAGACATGTTTCTTGGGATCGTCAACCGTGACAAAGAGATCTCTGGTCTCACCATCAATGTCATCATCAAGTTGAAGTCTGTTGAGAAGGGAAGATGAAGAAGCTGGGCTTGAAGTGCCTGCTGGAGTACCACCGTTGGGCAAAATGAGATCCTGAAATAGGAAGAGAATCGCCTTTCAGATTAAATGAAAACACACACCTGGAGGTATTAGCAAAAGAGGCTGGTTTAGACAAGCCAAGAAACACCTCTAAATAAAATAATAACTTTTAAAGAATCTGAGCCTCTCTTTACTTAATGTTTCTTAAGTGAACAGGTCTTTCATGACCAAGAGAAACAAACCATGGCAGAGCGCTACACCAAATTCATGCTGATTCATCTTCCAGCAAGCACTAGAGGAACCAACAGAAGCAGAGTTTAGGGACAGAGAACATAACAGCCCCCACCATCATCAGACCACAACAGAGAACTCAGTGAGCACACCACGTACTCTCGTTTTACCGCTTTCTGAAGGCTACCACCTGGGTCCAGCTAAACATTAAGGGACCTGAACCCTCTAAAATACTTAATGCATTTAAAAACACAATCAACCAATACAAAGAGACAGCTCAACATTATATGCCTCCTGAAAGAAGTAACCACCACCACCACCTATAAAGTATGTTTGCCAAAAAAATTGTATCTGAATCCTGAACAAATCTCTAGACACACCAATTTATAGGAAATATAGAGGAATGAGGAAGATGTTAAATAATACTATAAGGATGCAACCAGCGAAATCCACACTATATGAAACTAAACAGAACTAAAGATCCAGTTTCTTCAATAAATAAATTGCAAAAAATAAAAATAAAAGAAAGAGAGAGAGAGAGAAGCAGCACCTAGAGATGTAAAGAAACTTAAGAGGTCTATAAACAACTGCAGTGGAACATGATTAAAACAAAATGGCAAAAGAGTCTGAGGTAGAGATATTGGAATATTGACCCGTTATTTAATGATATTAAAGAATTATTAGGTGTGATCATAGAAGTATTGGGATTTTACAAAGTCTTCCCTTTTTAGAACTATATACTAAAATATTCATGGATAAAATGACAGGATGTCTGGTGTTCTCTTCAAGATAATTAAGGATGGGTCGGTGGGGATAAAGATGATACAAGATGCCCCGAAGGTGGTAATTGTCAAAGTTGGTATTTTCAGGTTCTTGTACAATTCTCTCTTCTTTTGTATATTTTAAATTTTTTTCCACAGTAAAAGAGTTTTAAGTGGGGAGGGACAAATGTCAGGGAAAAAAGGAGAGGAAAGATTTTTTAAATTATGGATCTTTTTTTATAGGCTTTAGTAGGAAGCCACTTTTTTTTGATATGTCCCTACTATATCAAAAAAAAAAAAAAAGATGCAAGCTTACAGTTAACCTTTTGTGGTTTCAAGGTTTGATAACAGAATAAAGGTCCGTCTAGCAGTAGATGCGAAAGCCTCTGAATGTCACCTTGGAATCATTAGGAGGCAAACACTAAGGAATACGGCAAGAAAGTGACACGACTCCATGAAAAGGATCTTGGTCGGGAAGGTAGAAAATATTCCTGACTTGTGGGTCATCAGATCCCAGGATGGGGATGGGAGGTGCTTTCCCCTGAATTCTCTGTTCTTGTATGTAGACTGAATATGACTGAGCCCCCAGCTTAGAGAACACACAGGAAATGAGAGGTCAACCGAGTAGTCATATCCATGAGCTCCAGCTGATTGTGAGACATCTGTGAAGAGGGATGGGAACAGACAGAGGGAATCATGGCCTGGAGTCAAGGACAATGTCACCCAACTCAATGGGAAATGGAAAATAAACAGAAAAGGCACCTTCCTTTGTCACCCATCTCTACTGAACACAGATAGTTTAAACCCATGCTTAATTACACGGTATGAAAAATATTTTTGTAATTACTAAAAGGGTATCATTTTCACGGAATGCACTCATGGGAACAGAGCCCACCCTCATTTCTCCTTGGCCCAAGGGCTTGTCAGCTGGGAAGGCAAACCCCTCAGGAGCTGTTCTTGGTGTGGATGTGGCTGCAGAACCCAGCTGCAGTGGCAACTGGCTGATCTAATTGCCTTCTCAGCATACTGACATACTGACCCCACAGAGCATGCAGCGTCCATTCCTAGTGTCCAGGGATCTAAGACGTCTTCTCTGTAGCTCTGAGATAACCGTCGTGTCTTCATCATTTCAGTACATATGTAAACAATGACCTTGGGTAAGGCACCATGCTTGGCATTACAGGGGCCATTTTTTCAACACTAGCACACTGGGCCCCACAATGGCTCTATCAATGGCTAAACATTGCACAAAAGAAAGAAAGAATTCAAAATCTTTAGTCAGATAAGCCAACAGCAGCTCACACAGCAATTTCCCACAACCTGGCCTGGACTGGTCCTAGCAGCCTCATTTCTCACGGCGTTAGCTCCCGAAACCCACCATGCTGTTTCGTACCCCTAACCTTTTCTTGCCAAGGCCTCTCCTCTCTATTATGCAGAGGTCTCCAAGTATCTCACAGGAAGCTGCTCAAATGCCCCTTCCTCCTGGTAGCCTTCTTTGTTCCACTCTCTGGCAGAATTAGTCACTCCCTTCTCAATAGTTTGAAAATATTTCCACTGAAGCAATTTTCACAGTTTTAATCACTGATTTACTTATATAACATCCACAAACACTGAGTCCCAAATAACTATAACTGTGCTTTGTTCTACTCTGTGTGTGTGTGTGTGTGTGTGTGTGTGTGTGTGTGTGTGGCATACGTGTAATTAATTATGTCTGCAGGTCTCCCAGTGACTCCAAGCCAAGTCCCCTAACCTTTGCTCTGGGGACCTCAGCCAATAACCTTCCAGGAACAGCCCACAGAAAGATCTGAAATGTCCTGGCCAGACAGTGGGAAGTTAGCTATTTTTCAAATCCGTGAGTCGGGGTGGGGGAAGGGAAGAGTCAGTCAACCGGATCTTGTCGCACACTGCACATTCTTTCCTCCTAGGACTAGGTGGCCAGGGAAAACACTCACACTCTTACTACGGGTGTTTCATGGAAAACTATTTGAGCATATACGAATAGCCGGCAAGCTACAAATATCTGTAACTTTCTAAAAAGGGATGCTACCAGCTCAGATTTCTATGGCGCCTCTGGACACGGTGCTTCCACATTCTTATTTCATTGTACCCCATGTCGGCCTCATGAGGTCAGCAGGACAGATACCGTCTCTACCAAAGAGGAAGCCAAGCCAAAAAGGTTAAGTAACATGTTCAAAGGTATTGACACTAGACGTCGCTATGCAAAGAAGTTGACCCAGGTTTCTGGTTCCTCCTTCAAGGTTCTTATCAAGCTGAATCCCCTTTGTGTGGCTTTTTCCAACCCATGACAGTCCTTCATCTCCACTCTCTAGCCATAAATCCTTTTGGGTAAACATAAAGCTTCTGTTTTTTATTTTCTAGGGTGTTTTAATTATTATTATTAGTTTCAAGTATACAACGCATTGGTTAGACATAGTTTACAAAACGATCCCCCAATTGCCCTTTCCCTCCCCTGGCTCTCCACCTAGAATGAAGCTTCTGGTTTTAAAGCCAGTCAAGGAAAGCTCACATTTTCCTTAGGGTCTTAATACGAGTTATTTCCCAAATGACTCACCTCAAGATATGGTGCTCATAAGAACAAATGTGGAGACAAAATATGAAAATCTTAGGAGAAAAGGGCAGGGGGTTAGGTGCACGGAATGACCCAGGCTCCCCGCCCCCGAGTCCTCCAACAGTGGGTTTGCTAGGCTGAGAGACCCAAGTCTAGAGCAGCCATTGTGGGATAGCAGCACCTCTACGACCGACATGAAGTACAGAATTCAAGAAGTGAGAGAGTCCCTTGGCTCGACACCAAAAGCTTTGTTTTATTTTTGCTTCCTTGTAATCAGTCCTCCACACTGCAGCCAGAGTGCTATCTGAAAAAATGTCAATTATTAACTAAAGTTAATAATACTGCATTGCATATTTGAAGGTTGCTAAGAGAGTAGATCTTAGAAGTTCTCATCACAAGAAAAAAAAATTCTGTATGTATGGTGACAGATGTTAACTAGACTTGTGGTAGTCGTTTCGCAAAACACACAAATAGCCTATCATTATGTTGCACACCCGAAATTAATATAATGTGGTATGTCAATTATACCTTATTAAAAATAATTAAGTTTTTAAAAAAGAAAAAAAATGTTAAGCAAAGCATATTACTCTCCTGCTCACAACTCTCCAAATTCCCTCCCATAACCTGCAAAGGCCGACATGACCTTATCACTCTCCCTGACCTCATCGCAGACATTCTCTCCCTAGCTCATCCTGCTCTAGACAGTGGGCTTGGCTCATTTTGACTTCAGCGCCTTTGTACTTGCGGTTCACTCTACCTGGAACGCTCCTCTTCCCTCAGATTCCCATGTGGCTGGCTCCTCTGTTCAAACAGGTTTCTGTTCACATGACACCTACTCATAGAAACCTCAGCCCACAAAATCTAAACATATCCCTGTATCCTCCATCACTTCCCAGGCCCTTCCCTGGCTTTACTTTAGTCACAGGACTTATCACTCTCTGAAAATTTATTATTGATCATCTGACTCTCCCACTAGTCAATAGATTCGACAAAAACAGAGACTTTGTCTTATTCACCCCTCTATCCTCTGGCACACAGTAGGTATTGAAAAATTATTTGATGAATGAATGAGTCTTTGAAATGACCGAACTCAATCCCTTGCCAATAAAATGTACTCAGCAAATGTCTTTTGAATGACAGTGAAACTGAGACTAACCTAAACCAGACTGCCAAGTTTTAAACCTCAGTTCTACTATTTACTAGCAAGTTTCTTAATCTCACTATGCCACAGTTCCCTTGTTGAGAAAATGGTGTAATGGGATGGAGTTAGTATATGAAAGCGATTGGAATAGTGCCTGGAACATGGTGGGTGCTACATCACTATAAACACGCTGAAAAAAATATGAAGTTGACTTGTCTGCAAGTATTCTTGCATCCCCTTATAGATTATGGGGCTGGGTTCACAGGAGACACTTACCAAATGCTACTGAAAATAAAAACCGGATGGAGCGAGAGTCATAGTTGGTGCCTCAGATACACTTTCTTTGATGATT